CTTACATAGTCAAAAAGAATTACAGTTCACTGGCTGGTATCTTTGCCCCCAAAAGCAACAGCCAGCCTCTGATGACAGTAGTAGGTGTTCACAGGCCATAGAGACAGAATGGTTTTGTAGACATTGGGGTTGTGAGACTCTATCTCCTTGGCAGGGAAATAAAGAGGATCATTACCTTTTCCTCACTTGGGAGATTCCATCTTCCTGCATCCTCAACCAGTGTAATGTTATGACTTTCAGACTCCAAATCCCAACTGACACTGTTTGGAAAGCAGGATTACATTATGGTATTAGGCTATGGGTCTCTGGATATGACCTGGGAAGCACCTTTACCATTCAGTTTGTTGCTCAGCACCCACCAGGCCCATAGGCCCTCAGGCTCCCCAGCCACCTCAGTCTCCTCCTGTTACTCATCTTCAGCCCTCCTCCACTAGATTTCATGCTCCTAAGACCTTTCTGCCCACTGCCATTTCTGCACCATCCCTAGACCCCTTTTTGCCTCTGGACATTGCTTACCAGTTTCTTAATCTTAGTGCCCCAAACTTCACTGCTGATTGCTGGTGATGCCTTCCATCTTGACCTCCCTTCTATATAGGCACCCCTGTGACTATTATGGAAAATCAACTTTTACATTCCTCTGCAGACAATACCACTTGTTGGTGGGGTGCTAGGCCCCTGCTCACACTGGACAATATATAGGGTACCCCAGGAACCTGTGTTTACTCTGCCTCCTACTCTTTGTGCACTTCCCCTTATGCTGCGCTCTGTAATCTTACCTCTTCAGCTTTGATTCATAATTTTTCCTATCCTGCTAATCAGCACCTTGTTGCTCCCAACAGAACCTGGGTTGCCTGTACTTCTGGTATAACTCATTGTTCTATGCATCACCTGTTCACCCGGTGCCTTGGGCTTTGTATATTAGTCTGTAACTTTCCCCAAGTGTGTTGGTACTCTGGAAATAATGGTAGGAGTCATATGTTCCCTAGCTTTGACTTAAAGGGTCCGGTCCGAGTGAAGAGAAATCCTGTACTCTTACCTGTATTACTGGGAGTTGGGTTGGCAGGGTCAATAGGTTTAGGAATATCCAGCATATCATTTGGAGACCAAAATTGTAGACACTTAAGTGTACTCATGAATCAAGATCTACCAGCACTCAGTGGCTCTGTTTCCAAATTAGACGATTCTTTAGTTCACTGGCTGAGATGATTTTACAAAACCAGCGAGGTCTAGATCTCCTGTTCCTAAAGGAAGGAAGCCTCTGTCTGGATTAGAAAAAAATTGTTGCTTGTATGGTAATCATTCTGGGGTTATCAGACATAATATGGCCAGCCTTAAAAGGTGGCCACAGGAACAAGAACAAGCCAGACAAGCTGAAAAAAATTGGTTTCAATGATGATATTTTTCTGTCTCTCTGGTTGACAACATTAAACCCAGCAGCCTCCGAATCTTTGTTAATCTTACTTACTTGTTTAACAATTGGACCTGGCATTATAAACAAATTAGTAAATTATGTCAAAGATCAGGTTCAAACAACAAAACTCATGGTTTTAAAGGCACAAGTTTATGAATACCACTGCTTGAAAACTCCATGAGCCAATGATTTGGTTCACTGACAAAAATCACTGGGGAATGTTATACTAAGATGCTGAAAAATTAAAATATTTGATTAAAAGATAATTAGCAAAAATAGTTAGTTAAAAGGAGAGTTATAAGCAGTATTGTCATTCTGTACTGAGCTCATTACCCTCGTAAACAACCACCAACCACATAGTTATAGACTTACTGACCACACATCATGCTGTTCTGTATGCATCGTCCCACAAGTAACCTATTTGCTATAAAAACCTTTGTTCCCCTTATAAGAGACAAATGACACTGCGTCAACCACTGTTTCCTTTATGAGAGACAAATGTTCCCGGAATTGGCAGACCAAGGGCTATGAATTGGCTAACCACCCACTCTGAAATGCCTCTGACCTCAAGCAAAGGGGAGCAAAGGCCTACCTTGTTTCTGTTTCTCATCACTCTGTACTTAATGATCATAAACTGTAAAAATCAGTCAAAAATCAGTTGCACAGCTTTGCAAATTCCATCTTCATTGTGTCACTGGGCCAGCAAAAATAAAAGTGCTTCTCTAAAATGATGTTGTTTTACCCCATTTTTTTTCATCTGGGAGGTCTTGCCCCATTTTTCATCTTGCAGGCCTTTTTGTGGAAGTGCAAGAGAGACAGTGATGTTAGTATTATGCAGCAACTTTTGTGTATTTTAAAGAAGATTAACAGTAAAGCCGATATAGATGGAATAACATGACTATGATTTGTTTCATGTCTATTATTTGTTTATACTTAATTTTAATTTTTTATAAGGTGCAACAGTGGTACATACATTGTGCACTGTCTGATTTGTTTTCAAAATACTTTAACAAGCAAAATAGCAAAAAGAAAAAGCATACATGATGGACTATTTTGTCTAAGGAAAGAGGTAAAGACATATTTCATTTCCTTGTGCTTCTGATGCCCCATTGCAGAGACTGATGATAGTATAAAGTGTGAGTAGGAGAAATGGGGCCCACATGAATGGGTGGGAATAGACAAGCTTTTTATATTGTTTTTTTTTTTTTCTTAGCCATCTGAACATTCTACCTGCTCTGGCATAGATGAGGTTTGTCCTTCAAAGATTCACATAGTGCAAGCTCATCCCCAGTGTGGTAAAGGAAAGACAGTGAACTTTTAAGAGATGAGAGCGAGAGGAAGTTGACTTGATCCCTGGGGATATCACCCTGGAAAGGGATTAAGACAGCTCTCAGGGAGCTCTGAGTTTGAGGCTAAAATATTAAAAGAAAACAAGCCAATTCTCTCTCCCAGCTTTGGCTTCCTGTGCCACTGTGCTGTCTCTCCTTCACACCTCTCAGCAGGGTGGCCCTGTCCTCTGTGAGGTTTTCCTCAGAAGTGAGCCAGTGCCCTTAGACCTCCAAAAGTATGAAGAGACAAACCTCTTTTTATCCTAAGTTACCCAGGCTCAGGTGTTTCATTATAATGACAAAGAAAACAAAACATTACTTAGAGTTTAAAAAATAAACAATAGACAATTTAGATAAGTGCAGTGGTAACAGGGCCTCATTGGTACAAAGAAGATACATTTTAGACTACTCAAGTATATGATTTAAAAAACCTCCAGGATTATGTTTATGATGGGAATAATGTTTACTTTTGTTTCTATTCTATGGAAATTATAAAGCATTCCAACAAAGGTCTTTAATGCATTATTTGCACCTATGATATTGATTGCTAAATGTAATAGTCTGATCATGATACTGAATAAATGTGTCACAAAACAAAAAGTAAATCCCCCAAAATATGTACTTGGTGGTAGAGCTTGCCTCAAGTGTGCAAGGCCCTGGATTTAATTCTTGGCACTCCAAAAATAAGTAAATCTTAAAAGGTCAATGGGAATTAAAAATTTCACCAACGGGGACTGACAGGGTAGAAAGGGTTGGAGTAGACCTCTCAGCTTCTTCATGTGTAGACTTCAGTAAATTAATTCCTTGTTCATGTTTTATAAAGCTTGCCTCAGCAACAATTCTAGAGGTAGGCAGAAACCAGTAATAAGAGAGAAAACATAATACAAAAACTTGAGACTGATGCTTGTAAGAGCCTTGTCTGAGGTGGTGCGGGGAGTAAATATGACTCCTAATCCATCTTCCATCCACCCCACCTTACACTTGAACATGAGCATGTGCTAGCTGTTATTAGTTCTGTCTACAGATATGTTGGTGACAAATATTAGATTCATGTAACTTACTTACAGTGCCAAAATGTCTGGAGTTTAGGAGACTTGTATTCTTACACTGAATTACCAATCATATGTCTTTGGACAAACCAGTTTTCCTGAGTTTCATTTTCCTTGTCTGTAAAATGAGAAAATTAACTATGATCTCTTGGGTGAGTACCTATCTATGAGGCCATGGAAGTACATATGTTGAACAAATTGGATATTTATTTATCTTAAGCATATTTAATGGCATAAATATGACAAGGAAACTAAAGAAGTCAAGACATATAGGGAGTCCCCCCGTTTTCCAAAAACCACTTAGTGAACTGAGCTTACTTCCCATTTGCAAGGAAGCTTTGGTTTTTAAAGTATTTAGATAATTGTTACTTTTCCCAGGACTGATAGTACTTGGGTTAGGGTTAGGGACCTCTAATGAACAGTGTGGCTAGAACTCAATGCTTCATGACGATTCATGCCTGAGGCTCCCTCAGGTAGGGAGAGAGGAGACACCTTGTGCATGAGACGAAACAGAACACTGAGGGTGGACTTTTCAGTTACATCCAATGTAGGAGAAAAGAGGGATTGCAAAAAGGAACACACCTTTAACAAACAGAAAGCTTCAAAGTGTTAAGGTCAAAATCACAGTATAAGAGCATGGTGCTAGGCATATATTAACACAGTTTTTTAATTTTATAAATTTTGCAACTGAAAAAACTCACATCTGGGAAGATTATAGGGCACAGGCTAACCTGAGATAGAGCAAGGATAAGATTAAAGTTGTGATTTGAGCATGAGGATAAAGATCACACCATTCATCGTTCTGTTCCCAGAGACTAATCTAGTGCCAGCCACAAAGTAGATGCCTTATGAATACTGGGCACGAGAGACTTGATTAAATGGATGCATGAATGATATATTTGAATGTTGATTCTCTTATAACTAACCAGACTTTAGTGTTGTCCATTTCAGTGCTGTGTTGTTTGCAATTTCAAAGGGTTTGCTCTACTTGCTATGACTAATATAATTTTTCTACAGCAGTTAGTATTGCTTCCTCTTTGTTGATGTATTAGCATAAACTTCAGAAGGTTACCGGATATGTGTTGTGGCATGACAAAGCCTGGGGCTTCCTGGTCAGTGTAGACTTAGCAGCACTAATAGAGAAATCGCTGGTACTCAGACAGCATGCTGTGCTGGCTGGCTCTCAGTGGGAGTAGCTACCACTCATATGATTGTGGTAAGCAGGTGATTGGAGAAGTACCCAGTTGAGCTGCAGAGTCATCCTTTGAGTCTTCCTCTGAAGAACCCATGTTTTCACATCTTTGTCTTGAGTGTGTCCTGTGGCTGTTGCTACCATTGCTTACAAGTAAGTGTGGGTGGGCAGGAACCTTTACAGTTGGAGAACGGTGGTGTATGCAGCACTAGAATCAATACAAAGATGTTCACATTTGTGCTTGCAATACAGAAGTTTAGAAGCAGCCTCAATGTCCATCATCGGGGTGTGGGTAAACGAATGTGGTATATCCATGATGCAAGCAATGTACTCCACTGAATGTGCTGATACAGAATGCCTTCAGATATAATGTTACTGCAAAACATCAAGGAACAGAACAATGGGTACATCAGATTTCCATGTGTGTGTACATTGTAAGGGAGAAGGGATACTTGGACATTTCCTAATATAGAGATTCCAGGAAGGGGAGCTGGGAAATGGAAAGATTTGGAGACTAAGTTGTACTAAGTTGTACATTTTTACTGTTTGAGTATTTCAGCAGGTAAGTCTCTGTGTATGTATAAAAGTCTGTGTAGTATAAAAGAATTAATTTGAAACTTCAAAGCAAACTGCGAGTGGTTTCAGACACAGAAATTTCTTTTATTTTATTTTTTATTTCTTATTTTTTGGTACTGAAGATTGAACTCAATAAAGCTTCTTATTTCGTCATTTTCAGGACTTTACTCATCTTTTTCCTAATGTGTTCTTTTCATTTATCTTTGTCTCTGTGTATATGTCTCTTTCGGTCTGTTTCTATCTAAATTCTGGGAAGTGAATACAGGGCCTTCTCAGTGAGCTACATCTTGAGCCTTTTTTAAATTTTGAAACTGAGTCTTCCTAAATCTCTAAATTTTTGGATGTGGTGGTACATGCTTATAATTCCACCACTCAGGAGGCTGAGGGAGGTGAATACCATGAGTTCAAGACCTTCCTGGAACACATGGTGAGTTCGAAGTAACTGAGCTATGTAACAAGACTTTGTCTCAAAACAAACAAACCACACACAAAACCCTCAGAACACTAAGTTGCTATTTTCCCAGCCTGGGCTCAAATTTGCAATACTTTTAGGGTTCTAGGATGCTGGGACTACAGGTGTGTGCCACCATGCCCAGCTTCCTGATGCTTCCTAGAGAGAGGGAGATTTACATGAGGACAGCTGTCCCTTGATAATGGGCGTAAAATGGTTCTGGTTGACAATGACCTTTCCTTACTGTTAGTTCCCATCTGCTGTCTCTTCTGATGATTATAGAACTACTCCACAACTCTCTCCAGGACAGTGACCTTCAGGGTGAGGGGCTAGAACCCTCAACTCTGGGAACTGCTACACATATAAGGATTATGGCTGCACCCAAATGAGCTGAACCCCAAACTCCAGAGGCTGAACCTTAGAACTCATATGTGAGCAGGGCTTCCTGCTCAATTTGATGCCTTTTATATCTGAGAATCATTGATGTAGTCACTCATCCTTCGGACAGGACAGCAGCAGTGACTTTGTCCTCATTCTCTAAAATGTTCCTTGCTGTCTTCCTGAAATGTGCTCCCTTTGTGGTCCTGTGCTCTTTTCCTCTCCAGGGTCTTTGGAAGAGGGGACTGTAGTGGCATTGGGTCAGAATGCCCAGCTGCCTTGCACATACAGCCTGCCCACAATGGGGAGTTTCGTGCCTGTGTGCTGGGGCAGGGGAGCCTGCCCTGCATTCGACTGTTCGAATTTGATACTCAGGATTCATGAAAAGAATGTGACATATATGGCGTCCAGAAGATATACACTAGAGAGAGACTTCCACAAAGGAGATGTGTCCCTGACCATAACAAATGTGACTCTGGATGACAGTGGAACCTACTGCTGCCGGGTCCGATTCCCAGGTCCATTTAATGATGGAAAGTTCAACATAAAGTTGGTTATCAGGCCATGTGAGTACACCTTTAAATCCTTCTTTGTGCATAAGATTCACCAGTAGGTCATAGGAAACACAGGATCTTTTCACTTCTGCCCTACAGTCCTGGGATGGGTCCCGAAGATCTAATCCATGATGCCCAGTGAGGTGTAATACCCTCCATATGTCTTGAAACTTGACAAGACCCACAGAATAGTAAGCCAGGCCTAGACCAGCAGCTTTTTAGAATTACCTGGAGAAGGTTTTTTTTTTTTCAACAACTATGTATGCTCAGTCACTACCTACAAACCAGAGAAATCAGAATTTCTGGAAGTAAAACTGAGCATTAGCCTTTGACTACTTTTAATGCAAGCATGGCCAGGATTATGAATCGCTTGATGGTATGTGTGTGCTGGGAGAGTATGTGTTCCTGAATGTTTAAAGAGTTACAGAGCACATACTTTGTTGCCAGACTTGGCCGAATTCAAAGCCAACTCTGCCTCTTATCATTCATGTAATCATGAGTAAGTTATTTAAATTCTATGACCTCCACTGTAAAATATAATATCTACCACAGGATGCTGAAAGGGTTCATGCTATATATTTAATGCAAAGCTTTTGATATTGCCACATGAATGGGTGTTAGTTCTGTTTATAATTCAGCAGTAAAAACAAGGATTGCTTTTCATTGTTCAGTAGATCTTCAGGGAAGGTTCCCCGAGGTAGGTTTAGAAACTGAAGAGAACTGAACTCCTCATTCATTGTTTCATAATTTTCCGGCTGCCCCTTTGATTCCCTGAAACAAACTCCTTATTCTCAAGGAAGCCTCATGCTTAATGTTGGTTTCTTACATTAGTCAAGTTCACTCCCACTCCGACTGCACAGAGAGGCTGGACTCCAACCCTTCCAAGGATGCTTACCACCAAAGGACGTGGACCAGGTAACTCAAGGGGCATAGGAGGAATTCTTGGTTAGTGTCTGAATTTAGAGGGTTTAGAAGATGAAAAAAATTGATGGCACAGGTTAAGGGTAGAGAAATCAGTTGCCATTGTGTACCTGAAATGATGTTCAAGGTGAGGAAGGGGGGAGACACATCTGTGCTGGGGGCAGGGGCACTTATGGTTAGGAAAACTATGAAACACAATACATTAAGACAAACAAATTTTCAGCTTCTAAACCTACCTCCAGGGCACCTTCCATGAAGATCTACTAAACACTACAAATGGGGTCCCTGGGTTAGGATTCCAGATAAGCCACAAACTAGCAATGAGACCTGAGCTAGATCTTTCACTTTCTGGAGCACAGCTTCCTCTTCTGCCTAAAGAGTATGTTTAGAGACGTCTGAATTTCATAACTCAGTGAGAATTTCCATCCCTTTCCATAGAAAATGCATTTTTCCAAATAACACAAAAAATGATGAATTTTGCCATCTTTGTATTTTAAAAGACATCACATTAGACTGTATTTTACTTGAATTTTTGACCTTTAAGAGTTCAATAAGAAATTATTCTTTTACCTTACTAAAATATCAAATAAATTTGATCCAGTGGGACAATTCGTCTTACAGTCCTCATTATTGTGATGAACACTTGTACTGGTGAGGCTTCCTCAAGAATGTGCCCCGGTCCATGTTCAGGGACGAATGGGCTGGATTAGGGAGGTAGAAATTTCCTTTTAGGTGAAATACAGCCCATTAGCTTTCTCAGATTCCGGCCTCAGAAGGAATAGCTGGATTCTTCTTGGAATTCAGGGAGCACCTTCCCAGCCTACAGCAGAGGACAAGATAGAATGGAAAGAGTCACATTAATCCAGGGAGTTAATCATATAGAATTTCTCCTCAGAATCCTAGTATCTCTGTGACATTCTATAGAGCACCTCCTTCTCTAAAATGAGCTAAAATAGGCAAGTCCGGCCATACAATGTCATCAGTGTCATAATCTAACCTTATCAGATTTGAGTAAGAAACTATAACTAAATGCTCAGCCCAGGCTCTCCTCATAGTATGTGCTCACTGTATCTTAGCTTTGTCATTAATTTTGTAAGTTCATAAAGCAGAATTAGATTATTGTCAAGTGCTCCAGTGACAGCTGTCATAAGCAAAAAGCTCAGTTCTTTCTGGCTTTGCAAAACCAGTTAAGTTGCTCCAGCTTCCTGAACCTCAGGTTTTCATCCGTCCAGTGAGGACAAGTCTAGTGCCTATTTCATAAAGTTGTGAAAATTAAACACAGTGATGTATACAAAGTGCTCAGTGTGGTACACAGTCCATACATGTCACTCAAATATTAGTTGCTGGAATTCCAGTCAGTATCTTCACCACTCTAAGGTTTTAGTTCTCAAGCAATTGGTAGCTAACATTTGCTGTGTGATTACTGAAGAAATCAAGCGTGGTGGGAACAGATGATCACCCACATGGAGGTTCAGGTTGTACCAGATATTACATTATGCCAATGTTTTCTGTTAAAGAAGTTGTCAGCTTCGATTCAGAGGGATTTGGGGGGAAGTTTCATCACTGCTTCAGCACCCTTCACTATAGCACCACTGAGTGGGCATCTACTGTATGCCACAGATGTGGGCAGATAGTGCCTGGGGAGTTCATTCCCCACAAGACAGGGCATTCCCTTGTTCACGCCTCTATCATGAACAGAGGTCTCCTTCCCTTTAGTTTTTGATTATTACTTAGTTCCTCCTAAAGTAAGAAAGTGGGGTCAACTTATAGATCAAAGAATACTGGTATACCTATGAGGCTTTTAACAGTCTGAGAAAACAGTTAAACAAATGAAAATTAACATCTTCAAGAAGGAAAATAGTATTAACAAGTAAAAGTAATGCACAATGGATGACTTGTCTGAAATATACAGTATATGTCAATCTGGCAAATCAACTCTTACGCAGTTATATAGAGTTCATTTTAAATGTGAATGTAGTTATATTTAATGCATTGATATAAAATTTAAAAAGTGAATTCCAAGGACTGTTGAATTTCCTTAACCCATACTGAATGTACAACAAATGCATTATCTCTTCTTCCTGAAGCAGGTAGGATGGCTTTCTCAATTTTGTGAAAGCTTCGTGATCATGGTTAAAGTATCTAAGACTTAATTTCTTCATCTAAAAAATGGGAGAAATAATAGTACCTACCTAACTATTGTCATGAGAATTAAATGCAATTGTGGGAATAGCACTAAGCATGATGTCTCCTGCATCGTAAATGCATATAAATGCACTTGCATACTTTTAGGATTATGTTGTTCCACCCTACAGCTGCCTCCACCCTAGCCACATGGGATTTTCCAGAATACACTGCAATGTCATTGGGTCATTCCACCATCTTGACTGACAGCAAAATCTGTGCGGAGAAATCTATGATAATGCAACAGTACTCATTTTCCTGATCATTTTCAAAGGCCCAATTGGGTTTTGAGGAGCACACCTGTACACCCAGCACTCTGGAAGACTGAGCAGAAGAATCCTAAGTTTGAACTCAGCCTGAGAAACTTACTAAGACCATGTCACAAATAAGTGAATGAAAAAATGAGTGAATAGGCTGGAAACATATCTCAGTGCAAATGCCGAGTTCAATCCTTGGCACATGCATGCATACATGCACGCATGTGCATGCACATACACACACAAGCACACACATGGAAAAAATGATAATGACCATTTAGACTAACAATAATAATAATTATACAGAAACAGAGGACAAATTTTCAGTTGAAAACTGGAACGTGGTTAAGACTCATGATTCCTTAGAAGTTTCACTATTGGGATTTTATTTTTTGTTTTGTTTGGTACTGGGGATCGAACTCACAACCTTGTGCTTGCTAGGCAGGCACTTGAGCTGCTGAGCTAAATCCCTGGTCGCTACTGTGATTTTTATACTTAAATTCCTTTCTAGGTAGGAAGAGCAAAGCTATGAGAAGCATAATTTCTTTTACTTTTTTCTTAAATAATCTAGACTGAGCCTGCAACTTTATAAAATTTATACCACAGTCTATTGAACTATACTCCAGTTAACCTTTTATACGTCTTAAAAGGTTTAGACTTTAAGGTTTGCACAGGGTGACTGTGACCTTTAAGGGGCTTCAAAGTGTGTGACTCAGCCATCGAGATGAGTTGGCCTGCTCAGGTTCTGGAGGGGTGCAATCTATGGTAGTGGTTTTAGAATGCAGCGTTCCTGAGATCCGGGCCTGGGTGCATCTTACCCTCTGCTCTGCCCTTGGTACCCGGTGCAGAGCAGTGCACACTCGCTAACTAAACACACAGGCGAAGCAGTAAACACAGGGAAATGCACACAGGGAAAGCTGCTGAGTGGTGGCCAAGCACTGCGCCCCTCCTCACAGCTGCGGGAGTGCCCAAAGGAAGGGTGTTCAGGCTGTGTAGGTCAGAGTGCGTGTGCAAAGCCACGTGGACCTGAGGTGGAGGCCATTTCTGTCACTCACTGAACTGTGCAAACTTGGGAATGTCATGTCCTGAACGCTCAGTTTCGTCACCTATCTAAGGGACCTCCAGTCCCACTTTAAGACAGCTGAACTGAATGATCAATAAGATCCTGCATTCATGAAGACAGTTTGGCATGATGCCTGCTTCCTGCTAAACTGTACCTATAGTATAGATTTTGTCTGAAGACAACAAAGTACTTTATCTTCCTCCTACTGAATAAATCCTAACCTTTTTGAAGAAAATCGTTATCTTTCAAAATATGGTTAGACTATCAGGGCTGAGTTTAACATTTTACTGGATTATTACAGAACTCTTGGGGACACCAATGACAAAATAAACTATGTTTTATCGTAAATCCTGCTGGAAGAATTATCTCATCAAACAGAGGTAGTAGGGCTCATTATCTTGGAGAAAAATAGTCATCTTGAAGTTCATTCTAAAACATTCAGTAAATGTTGTGATCTTTCATTTATTGTGAAGAGTATGGAGACTTACTTTTAAATATAATTATAGACATCCTTAAGTGTTTACTTGACTAAGACCTTTAAAAAGTTCTTAACTATTGTCTATTTTTCTTTTTGTGCATGTATGTATGTGCATGTGTCAGAGACACAGACCTCAGGAATGCACCATGAGAAAAATCAAATAGTGAGTAACCATTTCTGTGTCCTAACATCATGCTCAACAGAGAGGGAAGGACGTGTGGTGGTAGATTTCCTTCATGCCTGTCCTCTCCTCAGGCAGAAAGCCCTGACCTCACTTGCCTTCAGATTGACAGACTGCAGTGTCACAACCACAGTTTTACCAGGGCCCGAGGTGGGGAGCCAAGGAGGGTGTGAGTGCAGAGCCCTGGCACACGCTGCAAAACCAAAATGCAGTGTTGTCATCTGGCTCCTCTTCTCACATCTCACGTCCAGCACAGCTGGGCCCCACTCAAAGACTCCTTGGTCTTCTTCCACTAGGGTTTTCTCCTCTTGTTTTCTTTACGATCCTGATGAGAAAAGTTGTATCAGTTTATCTACTTATACATGACAAGACCCCAAGAGGGATGTTAAAATCCAAACTCTATACATTTGATTATGAGGTATCCTTCATTTTACCACAAAGGTAGTATCCCTCAATTTCTGAGAGCAAAAGAAAACCCACAGGGTTGCAGCCATGACTGAAATTCCTTGAGGTGCTATTTAGGAGTCTGCACTCTGTCGTGCATGTCTCCTCCTCATGTGTTCACGACGGGTGCTCAGCATCGGATGACCCAGGGCAGCCTGGGAAGTGACCTCTATGTGCCTGTCATGTCTGAGGTACAAGGATGCCTAGTGTTCAGCCCTTGCATCACTGCAGGAGTAATGCAGGCTCAGTAAAAGTACAAGCATGTATCAGAAAATTGGAAAATATAACTTCCTTGACATTTTGGTTCTAAAAGTGTTTGCAATGATTGTTTTTAAGAGAATGAAATTCTAGAAAGCTTTTAATGTAACATTCAGGTATCAAGAATTATATTAATTAGAAAAATGACAATATTCACGTGTACTGAGTGAGCACATATCCTGTATCACGCCAAGTGCTATGAACTTTAGATTTTCTGTGACATCATTTCCGGACAACTCTACTACGTCCCCAAATTCCTGGCATTGATGGGGTACTTGAACCCTGGACTATCTGGATGCAAAACTCTGGCCCTTAAATCAATTTTCGTAGGAAAGCATGGTTAATAGGTAGGACTTTGCCACCAGACAGGCCTCCCTGCCCATCAACAGATGAATGGATAAAGAAAACGTGGTCTATGTGCAGAGTGACGTGCTGCTCAGCCAGAAAGAATACATTTGAGTGATTTGTAGGAAAATGAATGGAGCACAATAGCATAAGACTGAATGAAATAAGGTGAATAAAGAAGGTGAAATATCACATGGTTGCTCTAATGTGAGAGCTCCAAAATACAAATAATTAAAGAGCAAAATTAAAGAGAGGCAGTAGGAAAGAATAGAACAGGGGTTCACTGCATGACCTCAACTGTAGACTACTCTGCAATATCCTGAGGAGCACAGGGTATTAAATGAAAGAGACTCTACACTACGTCTATTCTAAGGAGAGGGGCGTGGGAAGAAGCCCTGCTACCAACAGCTCACTCCGCACACACAGCACAAAGGGAAGTATTTTAAATCTTTGTTAAGTCCCAAAATGGAGCTAACCGATGTCCATGGTGGTTTGTGTCTTGTCTAGAAGGAAAAGATTGAGGGTTTCAGTCCCACACCTGTGAGGCTGAAAGGGTCGGTCCAGTTCACACACTGTTATGCTGGCTGTGTACACTGCTGATTTTCTGGCCATCCACAGCTTCAATTCTGTTTGTGTTTTCACAGAAAATTTTCACACTGGTTAAGGAGTTCCAAGCTTCTGGAGCCACCACCAGACTAGGTGTCTACATCACAGCCAGAGTGGGCGCTGTCGTGGCCCTCAAGTTTATTATTGGTGCTTTAACTCTCCTGTGTAAGTCATTGTATGTTGTTTGTCTCTTCCTCTGGGACTGTCCCTATAGGAACCAATGCAATCCTAGATCAAAATATCTCTTTATAATCATTCCTAAAGCTCATTAACTGAATAAACATTTGTCCCTATAAACCCTCACACTAACAATAATCAGTGACTCCCCGTGTCAGATCTGCTGGGCACTGAACGTTCTGCGTATGTTTTATTGCCATCACCATCTTAAAGGACAGGTAGTATTACTATCCCATATCATGGTAGAGGAAAGTGAAGCTTAGAGACAGCAGGACTCTTTCCCAGGGTTTCAGAGTCAACAAATGGCAAAGCTGACACGTAAATCTAGGCACATGGATTCCAGTACCTGTCTCCATCCATACATTAGTTAAGAAAACTCACTTTTCCAATCTACAAATATGCCTAGGTTTAATAGGAAGCACATTCCATGAAAACAAGCCTCTGCTGTGACTATGGATCATGACAAATGTCATCACATTTTCCCTCTTATCACAACTCTTGGCATACATAGTTTTACTGCTACTTTTATTTTAAAAAATCTTAAAATATAATTACTTAATTAATTATTTAAAGTATAATTGATATGATATATATATATATATATATATCATATTGGCAGTGTATTCACATTTGATGGTCATACTGGGAAACCACCATTTTATTCAAGATCCAAACATTTGTCCTTTTTTAATTTTGAAGACAATAAAACCAAATGAGATAAAACAGAATAGATTCAAACAAAGCAAAACAATGAACATGGTACATGACTTTAACCAAAATACAAGAAAATGAATAATGGCTACCATAATGCCTCTTGTTATGTTCAAAAGAACTGTCCATACCATCAGGCATAATAAAATTGAACAATAAAGTACAGAATTAAACCATTAAAAGTAAAACAATGAAAGCAGTGCAGAACTTCAAAACAATATAACAGTAAAACCAGAGTGGGACCATAATGTATCTTGTTATCTTCAAAGTAGCTTCCTATACCCTCACACATGACACAATCAAAGAAAACAAAATAGAATAAAATCAGTCAAAACAAAACAATGAAAGCAGTACAGGGCTTCAAAACAATGTAATAGGAAATCAATAATGGCTACCATAATATATTTTGCTATCTTTGAAATAGCTGTCCATGCCATCAAATATAATAAAATTAGATGAACTGAAACACAATAAAACCAAACTAAAAAGAACAATGAAAACATGGGTTTCAAATCACGATAATAGATTAACAATAGCCACTGCCTTCCCTTTTTAGACACTTCCTCCACTTTCACCTTCACAGGATGTATTGTGAATTTTGGATCCCACTAACTCCTTTAGCTTTTATACTAAGGAGGGATCACATATTCACAATATTCATGAGCATGATCTAAGCGGTATCCATTTACCCACAAGAGCCTCAAGGTTCTTTCTTTATAGTTGAGTAGTTTTCCATTGTGTAACAGTGCCATGTCTTTCTTATGAAGTCTACATCTGATGGGCAGAATACCCCCACTTCTTCCTGGTGCCCTGCCACATAAAGCATTGTTTTCTCTCTTTTGACTTTCAGTCTATGAACCTCCTTTAAGGTTAAATGTGTTTCTTGTATAAAGCATATTGATGGACCCTGTCTCCTGATCCCATCTGCCCATGTTTCTTTTTATTGGTGAATTGAGACCATCTTTATTAGTGATTATGACCAACATGCTCTGTCTCATCTCTGTCGTGCTACTTTCCTGCTGTTGGTTGCTTACTTTTCCCCTCCATTCCATTGTTTTCCCTGCTCTGTGATCCTACTCTGCTGCTGGGCCTGGAACCGTGATCTTTTTTTTTTTTAATTTCTCACTAGAATTTCATTCAGTATACTCTCTAGGATCAGTTTGGTGGTCATGAATTCCTTCAGTTGTTCTTTGTCATGGAATTATCTTGTTTCTACATTTTTGGGGGGTACAGGGATCAAACTCATGACCCAGTGCTTGCCAGACAGGTGCTTATGCCATTGAGCTAAACTCCTGGCTCTCCATTAGTTCTGAAAGATAGTTTTGCAAGGTACATCAATCTGGGTTGGAAGATGTTTTCTTTAAGAGCTTTACTGTTTCTGTGGGCTTCAATTCTCATGTTATTTTCTTCCTGTCTCCTTCCTCCTTCTTGTCTTCCCCATGATGTAGTATTCCAGCACCTGCACTGTTTCTGTCAGAGAGGCTGTTTACCCTGATGCTTACTGTTCTGCCATCTTCCCAGAAACCTCCAAGATCCAAACATTTGCAACACCCTAGAGGTCTCACATCCTTTTATAATTGTGGTATATTCTTTTTTCTTGAGGGAAAAGGTCAAGGCCTTAGAGTTAAATATATGTTTCCTATAAGGACTTGCTTAATGTATAGACACAATGTAGTGTGCCTAAACATCCTGCATTTACCCGGATTGAAGGGGGTTCCTAAGATACAGGACTACCAATGGCAAAGCTGGACAGTCTGGGAGAACTAGGAGTAGGTGACTCATTCCAATTGCTGCCTGAAGTTCCCAGTACTTTCAGCAGGTTAACTCCACACAATATCCCTAAGTGATAGATAGGAATATCATTCTAATGGAGAACAAGGATGCTGAAAGCTTAGATACCTTGGCCACATTTGCACACTTAACTGATGGGTATAGGAATTGAAAAAGGAGACACCTCTCTCCTGCTCATTATCTTTTCTGTCATTATTGTAAAGTGGACTGATCACAGTGAGAAATGATCCCATCCATACTCACCTGCTACCTAGCGATAGAAGTAAGTTTGGGAAATGACCACACGAAAGTAAGATATAAAGGTTATTAAGGGGCAGTGATAAAACTGACTACATTTTTGAGTTCAAAAGTTAGAGACTATTATAGTTTAATGGATAATCAAGAATGGGAAAAATTTGACATTTTATTCATGTATGTATACAGAAATCTTCCGCATCCACGGGTTCCAAGCAAGATGGCACATTTTAATTCCTGACTTCACAGCCACAAACTGATTCAATAATGGCCAACAATTCTGTCTTATACTCAGTCTCTGAGATGTCCATCCAGATCCCATTGGTACTCAAACCTTCTTCCCGCCTCTCCTGACTGATGACACAGAAAAGCCTCTTGGCTTTGGCAAGGGCTCAACCCCCTTCAATCCTTTCATCTGAACCATCTTCCTCGTCTTTTGCATTGTGGCTGTTTTCATTAATCCACAGGTTCCTCTCCAGTGGCTCCCATTTCTCACTCTCCTTTCCAGCCATTGTTCCTGCTCATCCTCTCTGCACTGTGAATGTCCATCACCTTGCTTTTATTCTTGAAACACCATCACCATTTGTATAGTTTTGGTCAGGCTCACCGAGGCCCTGCGTTTGGCTGACTCTCTCTGATGTTATCTTCCCTGCAGCTGATCTTTCTTCTAGTACTTCAAGATCCCTTGCTTCCCCATCCTAGGAAGTCTTGGCTTCTGAAACACCATTGTCCTACTTGACTGGCGACCCCTTTTCAGCTAAGTGGCTGTTTCCATTTTTGCCTGACCGTTAGATGTTGAGATTCCTTGGCATTGGGATCTTTCCAGTCTCTTAACTCTCTAAATTGTGGCATATGCTTTCATGGGCTTTAATGTCATCTTTAATTTAGTTCTCCAGCACTTTAAGTATTGATGATATTTGTCTGACTTTCCAGGTAGCAGGTCTGCTTTGAATTCTAACCCATTTAATAAGTTGAAAACGAAGCTCCCACTGCCACATTCCACCTTCCCACAGCCCACCGTTTCTCTCATGTCTTCATGATTTCACCACTGTCTACCTGGCTGCCCAAATAAGAAATGTGAAAGTCATTTATAAATCTTCTCTTTCCTTTCTTTTAATTCACAGTCTGACTTTAATTACTGTAACCTTTCTTTAAAAGCTATCTAAAAACTAGCCAAGAATGTGTAAGCCAGGCATGTAATCTCAGCTTTCCGGAGGCTAAAACAGGAGGATCACTGTAAGTTTGAGCCCAGCCTGAGTTACATGGTGAGGTCAAGGGCATCCTGAATTATACAACCAAACCTTGTCTCAAGACAAATAAAATAAATCTCAAATCCCTTCATTGTTTTGCATCTCTCTCCAAGGAACTGTCATCCTTATTTGTCTCATTTATTTATTCCTGTTTCTAACCTGCACTCGATTTAACAGTCTAAGCTTAATTAAGACTTAAGTCAGATCATACTTCTGTTCTTCAGTTTCCTTCAGGTCTTAGTATAAAATCCAAACTCTTCATTATGGCTGAGACGTCCTGTAGCACTGTGGTCTTCAATTTTGTGGCACCAGGGACCAGTAAATTGTCATGGAGGACAATTTTTCCATGGTTGGGGGACCTCAAGGTTGGTTTTGAGATCATTCAAGAATTTATTGAATGCTTCATTTCTATAATTATTATCTGATAATACATGGTGAGGTAAGTATAGCACTCACTGTAATGCCCAGAATGTTGGATTTCCAAGCTAGATTTTCTGCCCCTAAGTAATCCCATGAGGCAGAAATGCATAATGTGACAGCTGTGTGTTGCTCATCTCCAGTCTGCTCCACTGTCTTATTTTGGTTGCTGTACACACGTTAGAAATAGGGGTAGGATTTTCAGTGTTTTGTGGTAAGCTCAGGATATTACAATTTCAATTTAATCTAGAATGCATGGAGAACTGAAGTTATCTCCAACATAAATTTGTTACTTTATTTGGTTTTGGGGTTGGTTTTCTTTTTTTTGAATTAAAGTTCTCACTATGTAGCATAAGATGGCCTTGAACTCATTTATGTAGCCCAGACTGCCTTGAACTCACAGTGATTCCCCTGCCTCAGCCTCCCCAGTGCTGGGATTACAGGTGTGAACCACTATGCCCATGTCAAACATACTTTCAAGGACACTGTCAAGCAAGTGAACCTCTTCTAGCACAGACAAAGTCAACTGACCTGACTTCATTCACTCATGGGTCCCATATCTATTATTTCTCAAATTTGAGCTACTTTGCATTTGGGAAGTAATACTTAACCTCTTTGAAAGCTGAGATAAGTGAACATACAGCAGCTGGCGGAAAGAAGCTCCTGACTCAATATCTTTCAAAATATCTGTTCATGTTTGAAAAGTGTCAAAAATTCTGACATTCACAAGATGCTCCTAGAGTTCAGTTTAGCTCTGAATGCATCCACTTTCTCTGCCGACCTTAACACAGTTATGCTTCTCCCCTGAAGTGACAGACTGAGTTCACTGAGCAAATTGAATACACCTCATAAGTAAGCAATTTTTGTGACTCATTATGTGTCACTGAATTGTGCTGCCAATGGGTGCTGATTTTTAAAAGATATCTCTGAAATAATTTTATAATTCAAAAGCTCTGGCCAGTGATCTACATTTATAAAGCAATCTCAGTCCTGTGTGTAAGGGAAGATATGTGAGCTAAGGCAAGGAAGGTAAAGGTAAAGATTTCCGTTTCCATAAAAAGAAAAAATAAAAACAGCACGAAAACATTTTTTTCTGTTATTCAAAATGTAGTTGCCTGCAGATCTGCTATATTCTTATTGCTGTCTATGATAATAATTTTTCTTGGCTATTGGTCATCCTTGTTACATTCTGACTTCCTTGAAGGAGAAACAAGAATCTTTGCATTTCTTCAGTTTAACTCTGAATGCTGTATTCCTGCTTCAATATGAAATATAGCTATCATATACCTGCCTACAAATGTCTATTACCAGCCTAGTCAAGGAATGTACTAGGCCCCTGAGATAAAACATGTTACAGAGTTTACTTACTAAATAATGCTTATGAAAACACACCTCCCTCTCTTTCAATCGCCCTCTCCCCACTTTTGTAGCACTGGAGACATATTTTATTTTGTTAAACTGCCCATATTGGTCTCCAACCTCTACCTCTTAGCCTCTCCAGTGCTCAGATTACAAGAATGCACCACCTTGTCCAGCACATTTTTGTTTTCCTTTATAAAAATCTGCCTCATTAAAATGTAAGCATCATAAAGTTAGGCCTTTTTTTATTTTAATGAGAAAAAAGAAAAAATGGAAAAATCAAGAAGGAAACAAACCTGGAAAACAACAATAAAAACAAAATGACAAAGAACAAAATCAAAAACCTCCATAGCAATGGAGGTTTTCAAAACAAGAGGATGGGAATTTAACAATGGCTTTATACTGCATCTTGTTATCTTCAAAATAGTTACTCAGGTAACCAGATACAAGTTTAAAAGAAAACAATTAAATTGAACAACATATTGGATTTCAAAAACAAGACTGAAGGAAATCCCATCCCCCACGGTTACCACAACACACACTGCCTTCCTCCAAATAGGTGCCCCGCCCACCAAGTCAATCAAACAATACAACCATGGAGCTTTCCTTTCAGCTCAGTTGCTGTCATTGCACCCTGAGTTGCTCTGAATCAGCCAGTGGCTCGGGATGGGGATTCTCTTCTGGTTTCCCATCCTGTGCACCAGCTGGCTTACTGAAACCTATGGTGGAGCTTGGGTCACGGGATGGCTGAAATTAGGTCTTATAGTTCATCTTTGTGTCCCCAGGTAGCAAGCTGTCAGCCACAGGAAGGAAATGTGTCCCATAGTATTTGTCAAGTAAGGACAATGCATCTTAGTTTCTTATATGTACTGTGCACAGTGCATATAAGAAACTAAGATGCACATTGAGAGTTTCCTTTAATTCATTTTAGGACCATATTTTTCTAAAACAAACAAACAAAAACCATTTTGCTTCAGTGAGCCTATTTTAGTTATTTTTTATCTGTAAAAGTACTTTGAGTAACATTTTTCTCCTTTTACGTAGGGTACTTTCACAGGAAAAAGAACTCACAGAATGCAAGGTGAGAATTACAGGATGGGGAGAAGGGTATCTTGGAGGCCTGTGTTCTAATCAGGCTTTGATGTTTGCTCAGGGAAGCTCTGACTTGGGTTTTGGGAGCTAAACTCACACTTCTTTTATGCCCTAGGCCAATGGTGGAGAACTGATGGCACATGTGCCACAGTGGGCACTTTGTATCAATAAAAACTCTAAAATGTTCGCCATCTAAAAGAGGTGCCTATGTCTTAGCCACTTTGATCCTTGCTGGAACCCTCCATTGCAGCTTAAATGGAGAGAGGTCTAACTTATGTTTTCAATTTTCACAAGTGGTCTCCTGGCTCCAACACAGGAAGCGGGTGGTAGAAGACTCTGTTGGAAGAGAGCTGCTCATATCATGCACCAGGGAACATCACACACTAGGGACCCCTCTTTTGCATCCTACAACACGCTCATCTCTGACTCTCTCATGATCCTTCCAAAAGCCCCACCTCTAACGCATGTTAGAGGGGGATGTTCTAGATTTGAACTGTAACAGCCTAATTCTGAAATGAAAATTCAGCATGTTGCTTCTTGAGTTCTTAAGTTATAGAGTTTATATCCCCATTAATGATAAATACTTTTTATCACTATAGTAATACTTTCAGGGAAGCAAATGTCCACTTTCTAGGTTTTGGGGTGGACACTGGGTTACCAAAGTTAACAAGAAAACCAGAATCTATTCTCAGAGTTCTTAGAGCCAAAATCAGTCAGTTTTATCTCTAATTGAATATTAGGATCATCTGAGCACTTATGTGCACTATGAAAGATTAACTCCAGGGCAACTGAATCAGAATCTTGGGTTGCAATCTGAGCAAATATTTTATTAAAAACTCTCCAGTTGATTCACGTGTGTGTGTGTGTGTGTGTGTGTGCGCGTGTGTGTATTTGTGTGATGCTGGGGATTGACCTGGGGGCTTCACATGTGCTAGGAAAGTGCTTTGCCACTAAGCTACATCTCCAGCATTTTAATTTTGTTTGGAGACAGAGTCTTGCTAAGTTGCCCAGGAAGCTTTCAACTTGTGATCCTCTTGCCTCAGCTTTCTGAGCAGCTGGGATAATGAGATGCAGTACAGAGCCTCACTCTGGAGGTGACTGTAACATGGAACCAGGGCTGAGAAGCACATGTCTCTTATAGGTCTTTGTCTTAATGTTCATGGCTGATTCTACATATACATGCCTTTCAAATAAGCAGAACTTATAGGATCGCTATATTTTAAATTTTTCTGACCTTTGATACAGGGGAGTGCAATATATTTTGGAAAAAAAAAGCTACTGAATCCTACTATATAAATCATTTTAGATAAGTAAAATATGGTGTATTAGCTTGCTATAGTGGCACATGCCTATGATTCCAGCACTCTCGAGGCTGAGGCAAAGCATTGTCATAAGTTAAAGGTCTGCCCGGGCTATATACTGAGTTTAAGTGCAGCCTGCACTGCATAGCAAAACCCTATGTCAAACAAACAAATGTCATATTACAGACACAAAATAATGTGCACTAATAAAGTGAGGTCAGATAAAATATTGAATTATAGGTCAATATTCTTCATTAGAGGTAAAACATGAAAATATGTGCTATTGACAGGTAACACTTATAGGCATTCATTAGTCTGTTATTTGTAAAATTATGTAGTTTATATTCATTTCTATGTTTAAATTGTTAACTCTGTGCAATTAGGAACTGACAACAGTATCCCCAGCATAGTCCCAGACACCTATTAATGCTATATATATATAAAAAAAAAAAAATATATATATATATATATATATATATATATATAGAGAGAGAGAGAGAGAGAGAGAGAGAGAGAGAGAGAGAGATCTGATCCCTAGGGCTTACACCTGATAGGCAAGTGCTCTACCACAGCAATAGCCCCAGCTGTATTCAGACTTTTGTTTTTTTGGTTTCCAGACAGGCTCCCATTAAGTTGCCTAGGCTGGGCCCAAACTTTTGATCTTACTGCCTCAGCCTCTCAAGTAGCTGCAATTACAGGCATGTGCCATCAGCCAAGGAGCAATCAATATAATTAAATGAATGAATATTTCTCACAGTAGCTCTGTGAGGCAGGGCTCTAATGATTCCCATTTTATAGATGAGGATGCTGAGACACAAAGTTTACTAATATACAGTACAGGTGGGATTTTTGTGTTCTGTTCACTGCTGTTATCTGCAGGTATGTAAAATCATGTGTAACACACTAAACATTTCTTGAATGAAAATAGAAAACAACACAATTTACCCAAGCCACAGGATACAGTAAGACAATATTCAAACTCAAGCCTGATTAAATCTATAACATTCGTTTCTTTTTCTTTTCCTTTGTGAAATTGTTGAAGGCCATGGAAGAACTGCAGTGACATGAGCAGAACCACAACAGTACGAGAGCCAGTAGACCCCTTCACCTAAGCTCCTCATTGGGAATGGCATCCTGGCTTTATCTGTTTCTCTATATGGACCCTGGTTTTTTCTGAACCATTTGTAAGGAAGTTAAAGAATCCTGACACTTCACCTCAACTCTTCAGCCTGTGTTTTCTGAGAAAAAAAATGCACTTTTTATACCTAAGAAAATTGAGATTAGCTCCAATTTTCTTAGCTCTTTGCCAAATTACCCCCCCCCCCCCCGTTGGTATTCCACTGAGGATCGTGCTCTGCCTTTGCTTGCAGCCTGTTCAGATAAACCTGTTCTTCTAGCCTATTCCACAGGTGTGTCATTGGGAAACGCCTAAGTCAGCTGCGCCATTTTGTTTTCACAGCCTCATCACTCTGGCCAGCAGTCTTCCCTCGGGACTCACAAACGCAGCAGCAAAAGGGATTCGCTCACAGGAGAAAATCTACACCATTGAGGAGAACGTCTACACCACGGAGAATGTCTACACCACGGAGGAAAACGTCTACGAAGTGGAGGACTCCAGTGACCACTCCTGCTCTGTCAGCAGCAGGCAGCCAGAGTGATGACCTCTGCCTCTTCCATGCTGTTGGTTTCAGTCCCTTCACTGTTCACCTTGGTACTGTCCTCTTCAAAACAGATACGTGACTGGTTTTGCAGGTTCTCCCCACAGCCTCCTAAAAGGATATCTCCGTTTTCAGAAGATAACAAGCTCACATGGGGATTCAGCGGTGACCCATGCTGAATGTAGGCATAGGATAACTTCTGTTTTCCAGCCTCCATGGCTGCCCAACCCAGAGACTTCTAACTGTGGGCGTTAGAGCTCAAAAATGCTTTTACACAGATTAAGAAGGCTTTGTTTCACCAGGGTTTGAACCTAAGGTCCTGCTCTTAAACACATTTTAGAAAATTTTATTTTGAGACAGATTGTTGCTATGTCACTAAATTGCCCAGGCTGGGCTCAAACTCTTGATATTTCTGCCTCAGTCTCCCTGAGTGTTGGTATCAAAGGTATATACCAGATATCTGACTAGGAATTCTTGCTTTGAAGTCTCTGGACCTCCAAAGAAGTCAGGGACATGATGCATCTATACAGCTCCTGGAAATAAGGATATTTGTGTGCTGAGATCTATGCATGCTTTTTGGGGGGGGTATAAAAATCCTAAAGGGACCACTGATTTTCATAACATCTGTGATCCTTAAAGAGTTAAACAGGACCACATTAGGGCTATATGATCTTAAACTCCCTTCTGATTCTCAAAACTCATGCCTATTTGAATGCTGTCTCCCAGTGTGAGCACCTCTGTGTAGCTCTTTCCCACCTCCATTAAGAAGCATGTTCAGTCTGTGGTGTGGACAGAGCTCCTGGGGACAAGGAAGTGTCCCTTGTGTTTGTGGCTAAGTTGTGCTGTCCTCATGGGGAGGTAGCTCCTCTCTTCTCCCCTCCCCGTCTTGTTCTTTACCCTTGTCTTTCTCCATGTTTTTTTTTTTTTTTTTCTCTTTCTTTGGTGACAAAGCAGTGTTTTTCACGAAAGAATCAACCAGTCACTGGGTACACATTTTTCTGATGGGAAGCAGGCAGAGGCCACCAGAACTCTGTACTGTCAACATCATTTCCTAAAAGGAAGATAGCAGTCCCTATGTGTAAGTCTCAAGATGACGGAACTAGGTTTGTGTTCTTTTTGCTCATCCTCCAGTGCTGGCCTGGTTCTCCCACACAGCAGAAACAGACTAATTCTCTTCAGAATGAAGAGTTAAGTAAACAGGTTAGATTCCCCACAAGACATTTCCATGGAAGAGCTCAAGAAGGGCCCAACTCTTCACAAGTGCCCACTTCCTCTTACTCAGCCACAGCGGTCTTGGTCTCCAACATCCCTTCCTTTTTGAGGTCCCTGGCAGGCTGGAACTCTTTTGCCTGCTTTCCACCTTCTGCGACCTCCTTAGCTCATGAACAATGAATGAATCAGCCCTGTGGCCCTGTCACTGCCTGCACACTGCACCTCTCCAGTGGAGGGCTGCATTGCTCCAGAGTTGCTCTCCGGAGGCCCCCTGGTCCTGGGGGATGTGCCTCCTGCTTGTTTCCAGCCCCTGGCCATGTATGAATATCGATTGTGTGGGCTGCACCTAAGTGGGAGGCACTGGCTTTCTTGAGAAACCCATGTAAGGGAGATCATTTTATAAAGTCACCCACTGGGGACCTGGCCAAGATCTCTAGCTACTTGTATGAGAGGTACAGTGAAAGGGGGAGATAAGATAGAGACAATAGGGGAATAATGGTACAATTCAAAAAGCTAAGTGGTGCAGGGCACGGTGTCATATGCTGTAATCCCAGCACTTGGGAGGCTGAGGCAGGAGAAGTTTGGGGTTAGCCAGGACTGTACAGCTAGCCTGAACTACTGTCACTGGCAATACCCTATCTCAAAAACTTAAAAAAAATTAAATAAAAAGAACTAAGTGGTTTTATTTAGTTTACTTTTTTGCTAATTTGAAAAATACTTTTTAAGTGGTTCCCGTGTGTTGGGCTCCTTGGTGATGGGGCCATGGGTGCCTCCCTGGCCCCATGGAATGTCTAGGTGATCTGACTTTCCATGTGGAATGCAGTTCATGCCCATTTATCCATTCAGTGAAGATTCATTAACCACTTCTTCATGCCACACACTGTGTCTTAAGACTGCAGCCTCTCAGTGAATGAAAGTTAAGACTACCTGCTCTCAAGGATAATATACTACTTGTCAGAGGAAAATACTACCTTAAATCAAAAGGCAAAAGTTACAGGATTGTATATATAACCAGGGAGGGATTTTTACTTTAAAAATGTGGAATGGATGGGCATACTGATGCACACCTATAATCCTCGCACTCAGGAGGCTGAGGCAAGAAGATCTCTACAAATTTCAAGCCAGCTGGGCTACATAGTGAGTCCAGTCCAGCCTGAGCTCTACAGCATGACTGTCTCAAAAACCCAAAATGAAACCAAACCAAACCAAAAACACCCCAAAATAACACGGCCAAAGTCTGAGGTAGGCCTTCCCTTTCTTCCTTTAGGATGCTTCTGTAAGTTTGCACTGTATTTTTCCATTTCCTTTTGCAATAAACAGTTAAATTTAAGCATGATATCAGTGTTTCCCTATCTTTTCTCTACCCCATAGGAGAAAGTGAAGACTTGGATAGGTCTTGGTCAAAGTGAAGGCTAGCGATAGATTGTAGCATTATGTCAAGAGCGGAACTTGGTTTTCAAGATAGGATTCACTGTACATTACACACTTGGAATGGAGAAGGTGGCATAGAACAGGGGCAGGAGAAGTTCCTACAAAGAGCCTACAAATGTGGAAGTTGAAATTTAAAGAATTCAAAATAGCTAGGCATGTTGGGGAACACCTGTAATCTCAGCACTAAGGAGGCTGAGGCAGCAGGATTGCTGCAAGTTTGATGCCAAGCTAGGCTACAGACAGAATGACAGCATCACTGGTCAGTCATGGGATATGGAACTGGAAAGGTTTGAATCTCTCTTAAATCCCAATGTAATTTTCTAAAAGCACTCACTTTTAAGAAACAAAGCACATGTGTAATCCCAGCACTTGGGAGGCTGAGGGAGGAAGAACACTGTGAGTTCAAAAAGCCAACCTGCGTTTGGTAGATTCAGTGGCCAGCCTGAACGATATAAGGAGGCCCTGATTTTAAATAATAATAGTAGTAAAAAATAGTAGTAAAAATAGTAGTAATAAGTATAACAATGACAACAAATTTCAACTCTTCCCTTCCAAAACCATAAGCTCAATAACCCTATGTTTTTATAAGTTAACCAGTTTGTGTGAATATGTATGTATTGGATAAGCTGGAGAATTATATATTAGCTTTTTGGTTTATGTCTCTAACAAAAAATAAAGCTTTGTTATTAGTATTATTGGTTTCATATAGAATATTACATTTTGAAGTTCTTTAAAACTTTAAGAGGTTCTAGGTAATTGACTAAAGTTTTTTTTTAAAAGTTTATTTTGTGAGGAACTAAATGTTATTTCTGATTGTATAAACTAAGTCACTGACATATTTGGCATTTAAATGGTGCCTGAATCTAAATATTGTTTAAGAAATCAGTGCTCAAAAGCAATGAAAGGGCATCCTAGCAATTACCTGCTGTGATGCAGATTTTATAATATTTTACTCTCTGTAAAGTTTAAGACTTTACTATTTTTGTTTTATGGTTGTAATCTTAATACAAGCTAATTATAATACTTTAAAGATTAAAAACATAACAAGTTTTAAGAAACAATAGTAGGAATCTAAGTAAAAACTATAGTTTAGCCGGGCATGGTGGCAATCGCCTGTCATCCAGCACTCAGAAGGCTGAGGCAGGAGGATGGCCACAAATTCTAGGTCAGCCTTATTGGGAGTTCAAGGCCAGCCTGAACTATGTAGCATGACCCTAACTCAAAACACAAAGCAAAACAAATAGTGTAGAGGGCAGTATCATACTCATTTCACAGTGTTGACAAATGTACAGTGATGTACAAGTAGTTAATTATAGAGATGTACTAGATATATAATTTTTCGGTTCATTTCAAATTATTTCAAAATTTAAAGAGTTAAAAGCCAACAGTAAATGAAATGTCATCAAATGAGATAACTCCTTTTCGTCATGATGATTATGTTATAGGCAGCTGAGTTAGATAGAAATATTATAGGCAGGCAGACAGTACTGAAGCCTCAAAGGAGCCAGGACAGGAGACCAGATACCTTGCAACTATGAGGAAAAACAAACACTTCCTGCTGCCCAGATCTCAAGACAAAAGACAAAATAAATACAGTCACAGCCTAAGGCCTGATATTCTAAATAGATATCCATCACCTTGAAGAAGCCAGAAGGAGTCACTAATCCAAATAAGGAAAATGCTAGATATTAAATTCAGCTTGTGGTTTGCGAAGTTGAAGAATAAATTCTGTTTTGGTTTGTTTTTGTATGTTTTTTGAGGCAGGGTATCACTATGTGTGCAGCCTGGCCTTTAACTCACTATGTAGCCAAAGCTGGCTGCTTCCACCTCCCAACTGCTAGGATTACAGGTGTGTCCCACCATGCCCTGCTGAGAGGTAAATTCTAAGGAACAATGGTGGTTCAGAGGATGGAAGTTTACTGTGGAAAAGGAATGGGGAGTAGGAATACTTGAGAGACATGGGGGTACCCAATGGGTGTGTACGATGTGGGTCAAAATGATGACTAAACAATAAGGTTGCAAGTATAGTCCCTTAGGTAATACTGACTCAGTGGTACCAAGGGGATATGGGTGACATCATTGACCTTGCTAGTCTTAGTCTTAGTCTTGGTGGGAGACGATAACCTACCTCTAAGGGGATAATGGGAAATCTCAAAAGGTGATACCAATAATCCCAAATTTCTGTTTATCCTTTACAGAGGTATGTAATCTAGCACTGCGACTTCAGTCTTCTTCAGATGCAACTCAGTCACGATTTGGATGTGTTCTCATCATCTGATTCCCTCAAAAGCCCAGCTCTGTCTGACTGCCTGCTACATTCCTACCTAATTTAACTGTCTGTGATACTCCCCCCTCTGAAGAGGTATCCTAAATGCTGTGAGCAGAGAAAGGGCAGTTTCTATCTAGCCACTTGGAGCTGACTAGGGTCAGCGCAGGGGAAACCACAGTCAGGGCTCTGTGCAGAGAGGAATCTAATGGGCCTTGGCTGGAAGTCATGTTGGAGTTAAGCAGTTACAAATTCCCTTTTCCAGGGTGATGTAGTGGATTCTGCTAAAAAGGAGTTGGGTGCTTCTGTTGTTGCTGGTTCCATCTCAGGATCACTTGGAGTTTGGCAGCCTCCAGCTAGTAGGATCCGAAGCTTGGGGCATTTCTAGCCAAGTGGATGCACCTTGAGACCACACTCGTAAGTGAATTAAATTAAACACACATGTGAATATCACATTGCTTTTCTGGTATGAAAAAGTAAAGGAAATAATACGTAAATGTATAATAGATATTGTGAAACAGGAAGAAAGTATTCAAATGGGAAGGGGAACAAGGGATAGGAAAAGAAAAAATGAGAAAACAGGAAAAAATAGAAACAAAGCTTTTGTAAGCGAGAAGGAAACAGGCTGAAGGTAGTGCAGGAGAAGGGAAAAAAGAATGAAGATGTATCATGTACAGGAACAAATTTCTCTGATAAATACGATCATTATGCATACCTAAAATGTAACAATACATTTATTTAAAAATTTAGACTTTCTAGGATGGGGACGCAAGGGAGGACACTACAGGAAGATCAGCTGCAGCTAAGATAATATCAGAATAGGGGGACAGGAACATGCAGGGCAGAGCTTGACCAAAACTATTCAGATGGGGATGGTGTTTCAAGAATAAAAGCAAGGTGATGGACAGTCAGACTGCAGCGGGGCTGAGCAGGAGCAACTCACTTGAGAACCTTGGCTGGAAAGGAGAGTGAGAAATGGGAGCCACTGGAGAGGAATGTGTGGATTAATGAAAACATTCAAAATGCAAAAGAAGAGGTAGATGGTTTAGATGAAAGGATTAAAGGAGGATGAACCCTGCCAAAGCCAAGAGGGACAAAAGAGGTTTGAGTAGCCTTGAGCTCTGCGGGTGGTCATCACAGAAAGTGACTACAAGATGGAACTCTTGCAGGTGGTGGCCCACACCCATAATCCCAGCCCTGGGGAGGCTAAGGCAGGAGGATCCTTGTGAGTCTGAGACCAGCCTGCGCTACAAACTAAGCTCAGGGTCAGCCCGAACTGCATAGTGAGCCCCTGTGTGAAAAACTGTAAAAGAAAGAAAGAAAGAAAGAAAGAAAGAAAGAAAGAAAGAAAGAAAGAAAGAAAGAAAGAAAGCAAGAAAGGAAGGAAGGAAGGAAGGAAGGAAGGAAGGAAGGAAGGAAGGAAGGAAGGAGAAAGAAAGAGAAAGAGAGAGGGAAAGAAGGAAGAAAGAAGATGGAACTGTTGGCTATCACTAAGCCAGTTTGTGGCTGTGAAGTCTGACTTAAACCTGTACCACCTTGCCTGTAAGATATTCTACAGTAATTAATTTCCAAGAAAAAGTTCCAAATTAAACGGGACTTTATTTTATTTTTTTATCGGTACAAGAGATCAAACTCACGACTGGGTGCTTGCAAGGCAGGTGCTTATGCCACTGAGTTAATCCCCAGCCCCTAAACAGGAGTTTCTGATTTGGTCTTCTAATTAGCTGTGTTTGGGAATTACACACAGTTGGACCTTTGTATCTACCTTAGACAGTTCCAGACCCCCTCACCGATACCACAATCCTAGAGTGCTTGAGTTCCTTGTAAAACATGCCATTTGCATATAACCTAAGTACATGATTCCATGTACTTTAAATCACCCTAAATTTCTTATAACACCTAATACAATCTAAATGTTATATAAAATAATTGTTATATTGTATTTAGGGAGTAATAAAGAAAAAGTCTCTACAATTTTCTGTGATACTTTTGATCTGAGGTTATTCAGATCCATGGCTGTGGAACCCATGGCTACAGAATGTTCGGGTGGGTAAGTGTACCTAAACAACATGTCCAACTTTCCCATTACTGATTACCCTTTACCTAAGCTGTAATAGGCCCTAACTTTCTGGGTTTGTTGTGTTTTTTGGGTTTTTTTTTTGTTGTTGTTGTTTGTTTGTTTGTTTTGTACCAGGAATAGAACTCACAACTTAGTGCTTTCCAGGCAGGTGCTTATCCTGCTGAGCTAAATCCCCAGCCCCTCTTTGTTTGTTTTGAGATAGGATCTTGCTAGTAGTTCATGCTGGCCCTGAACTCTGTATGTAGCCCAGGCCAGCCTTGAACTCACAGCAGTCCCCTTGCCTCAGTCTCCAGAGTTTTTGGATTATAACCTTGTGGCATCATGTGCCATCATGCCCAGCCAGTTCCTAACTTTTGAACTCACAAATTTACTCAGTTTTATCATTGTCCTTAATAGCCTTTAGATTCTATATTTAGATCCATTCCCAAGCATTCATATGATCAACTGCCAAACTACTTATGGATAAGTACAGGTATGTGTGGATGGTGTTGTTTATTCCTCTGAAGACTCCATGTTCCATCAGTAGCAGAAAGGTGATGATGAGGATGGCAGCCTCTATTTGAATTCATATACCCATCAATTAAGTGTGCAAATTTGGGCAAGTTATTTAAAATTTCAGCATCCTGATTCTCCATTTAAAGATACACCTATCACATAGGGTCATTATGAGGATTAATCTGCTTCAAGTACTTGGCAACTTCAGGCAACAGGTAGGCTGAGCCACCTGAGTTTTCCCACACTGTCCCAGTTTTGCCACTGCAAATCCCATATCTTAGGAATCCCCTTCACTCCTGGAAAGCCTGAGATGGTTGGGCACACTACACAAAGTCCATGATTCAAGGAAGTCCATGCAGGAAAAAGTAAATGTTATGATGTGTTAAACTGTGAAGTATAAAGCCTTGATGTCTTCTCCAAGAGATAAAAGAATACTTCAGAATCATAAAAGGATATCAGACATTTAGAGTGATGGGAATATTTGGGTCCAAAGTGCAGTGATGATTTAACAGTATAATCGTCAAATGTGAATACAATTTAAATAGGCTGTATATTACATTGCCATTATATCTTAAATAACTGTAAGCATTAAGTAATTACACTTTAAGTAATTAAAAAAATAAAAACAAGTAACTTAGAAAAAACTGTATGCCAAGTGTTCTGATAAAGGGCAAAAATTCTGTGACTTGGTCCTGATCCATTGTTACTGAAGAAGGTAGTTTTTGTAGAATATGTTTCCTATTCAACCTTAGCATATTCATAATTTGAATGACAATGTGTGCTGTGACTTGCATGCCTCTTTAGGTTCTTTAGGTTTCTGGGGTAAAGACTATGAGAGGATGAGAAAATAA